CTCACTTAATTTCCAATTTTGTCCATCAAGGAGGTGACAGAGAAGAGCGAGCGCATCGCCCAGCTGGAGCAGGAGAAGTCGGCTTTGATAAAGCAGCTTTTTGAGGCTCGAGCCCGCAGCGCTCAGGACACCAGCACCATGGACTCCACCTTCATCTGACAACACTCCAGCCCTCGACATATCTGTTCTGGTCAGGAGCAAACTTTTTCTGAGACTGAAGCTGACTCTTTGTTTACCCAGCTGACCACTTGTGGCAGTGACGCACCTTTTAGCCATGACACGCCAAAACCCTCGACTGCAACATGTCACCACTACACCCCAAACTAAACCATGCACTACCTAGACATGAACACTCCCGAATGACTTGACCCAAGAGTCTAAAGGCTCTTTTACTTGCTGCCTTCCCTCTTCCTGCACCCAGTAAGGATGCAATAAAAAAAAAATAGGGCTTATGAGCTCCCATCACTCCATTTTTTTTTAAATTTTTTTTTTACATCATCTGCAAGATCTCCTTACTTATCCTAAAGGATTGTTGTTTTTCTCCTACTGCTTCACTCCACAGGCAGCATTAAAAACGTAGAGGTCCATAAAGGAATTGGACATTAGGGGGAAATGGTTTTCGTTGGAATAAAATGCCATATTCTTACAGTTTAATATGAAAACTTATCAGCTGCATCTGTTTGCTGTGACCTATCACTTACTTTTTTATTTTAAATCTTTTAAGTTTGGTACTTAAATCACGGTCATCATGAGGTACACTTTACTTTATGCTTGTCGTTCAGTATTCCCTTCCTTTTAATGTAATGTTTACGTGACGTTTGCTTTCTAGTTTTTGATTTCTTTAATCTCGAACTAAAAGCAATGGCTAAAGAACAGGTTTTTACTGTGTTTTATAATAGCATGTCAAATGTTCAGACCTTTTGAGACGTTTTTTAGCTTGAAGCAAGAGATGGGAGGACAGTTTACAAAACCAACAAGACGTTGGGGCGGAAACAGATGAGAGACGTTTGCACGTAGAAAAGAGCCGAGGAGGATGAACGCGGTAGACGGAGAATGTGACAGAGATGTGCGAGGCGTAGTTCTGATGTCATGTCAGAAACAAATTGAACAAAAAAAAAAATCACTTTGGCTGTTAATGCTGCAGCCAATGTCTTTACAGTGGATTCTTTGCATGGATCATGACATATATATCTTCTGAAGAGATTTCTGTTTGAAACCTGAAGATTAAAAATTAGTGTACGTGGACAAACCCATGTTGTCTTTGTAAGTGTCCCCTTTTACTAGGTTCAGCCTGGAAACAGTTGACTTTAGACTAAACTGAAAAAAAAACATTTAGACATCCACAAGTTTACAAGAGAAATATTTAGTTTGTGGGTGGTGGTAGAAAAAGAAATCTTGTAGTTTTTTACTGGGTATGTACGGTTCTGATGGGACGTCTGCACATAACATAGTTATATGCTGTTGGTGTTTGTTTTCCACTTGTTTGATTGTATGTTTCTTGCTGCTCAAACTTCATTATGTGTGAGTGAAACTCTCCCTAGAGTTCTCTGATGAAATGTAAAAAATAAATAAGATGAAAGATGCTAACTGGTTCTATGGTTCTTTGTAGAGTCTTTTTCTAATTTATTACAACACTGCACTGAGACAAACCAAATCCGTCCATAGCAACAAGTGATGAGTTATTTCCTGCCCCAGGCTTGTTCTCTTAGAAAATTATAAATATGAGACTGTATGTATTTGTACATCTCTGCCAAAATATGTTTTGTTTTATATTGTTGCCCTCAGTTTTGTTTTGTTACTCAGCAGGATTATGCAAAGACTACTGAGTAGATCATGGGCCAAGAAAGAACCCATTCAATTCTGGCACAGATCTGATTTTTTATTTTTATTTTTTTTGATACTGTGATGTGAAAGCAAATTTAAATTCTACAGATGCAGATTTTGATATGTTTTTTCATTGAATTACAGACTCATAGATATCAGTCCCCTAAATGTGCCTGATTTTATTTTCATCACAATCCACAAAATATTATCTTAGAAATCGATGAAAATGTATCTCGAGATGTGAAAGAAGTGTATCCTTATCTGCCTCCTGATCCAGATTCACACCAAAATGAAATGGGTTCTTTCCTGACCCATGCAACATCCTTCCACCTAACTTCTTGGTATTCTGTTCTGTAGTTTTTGTGTAATCTTGCTAATTAACAGACAAACACAGAGGAAACCAACCTCCTCGGCAGGAGGGGTTAATATTACGACAGGATTAGTTTGATCAAAATCTCACAAAATAGCTACAAATTTTTTTTTGTCCACTTCTCATGTGGATCTTTGTACAACAGACTTGTGTTTTATGCGTGTGTGCGTGCGTGCGTGCGTGTGCGTGTGTGTGTGTGTGTGTGAATGAAACACAACCTGTAAACCTGACACCAAGACAAACAGACACATGCACACAAACCTGGGTCAAATTACAGACAGCTGTTCAAACACACAACTCAGTGCGGTGCCACAAAATACTGGAGTATATTCATAAAGGGCCATACATGTACTGTGTCAACGTGGTTTCAATTAGTTTCTGTTCACTGTCGATGAGTCTGATCACATCCCGTCACACAGCAGCAGATGATGTGTGACACAAACGGAAAAGTACACCGAAAGAGCTATGCACAGTTCCCAGTTCGCCCAACAAACCCAGAGACGGGCCTTGTGTAACATGTTACTCACTGTTACACTGAATTGAATCAGAAGTCATTTTCTGGACGGTTGCATCAGTTGTTTACTGACGATTTTCCGTCAGGCACCAATGGTTTGTTGCATCATTGCCAATCGGTGTAAATGGATGACGGCACACAAACCCTATTACTTATATTTACTTTTTAATGTTATTCTTTTTTTACTTTACTCCCAAATAATCTTTTACACTTCAGCACCATTCCTGCTTATTGTTTTATAATTATTTAATTTGTATAGCTCAAAAAAGTGATGGATGCACCAGGGGCCACACAAGACCTCCAGCTTCCAGACACTTGTGTCGAAGCTGTGATTGGACGATCAGATGGAGCAGGATCCCTGAAGTGTTGGGTCATTTTCCAAATACGTGTTTTTTCTTTCTATTCATTTTAAGGTGAGGGCTCAGCGTTTGCTCACACTGGAATTAGCCGGAGAGTAGAGACGCCGGCCACATCAGGAAAGTGCTGCAGTCTCCCACAGAACAGGTGAGTGTCATTTTGCATTAAAAGGAAACTCTCTGACCTCGCCACCTGAATGCAAACTAATTTTACATAACCCTCCTCCTGTGGTTGTATGGATGCACGCTCAGATATTTTTGCAGTGGCTCCACAGACTTAATTAGTTTACCTGTTCTGCAGGAGACTAGGTGCTGTTTATGGCCATGGTGCACATTTACATGTCAGCCTTATATAGAGATAATGGGATACAGTATATTCCTTGTGTTGACCTGATGGTAACACAGAAACAATTCTGTGATCACATTCAACACAAAGACAAGTCTCTTGTGGATGTCACAGAGTGAAGAGGAAATGAGCTGAAGAGTGAGGCAACAGTGAATCTTTCACAGCTGAGCGTGAAGGAGTTCAATTCAGTGAAAGATAAATATTCTATAACAAGGTAAGAAACAGAAATTCAAATTTAGGGAAATGCATGTTGTAAAGCCTAAGTCTTAAAGAGATAGATAGATAGATAGATAGATAGATAGACAGATAGATAGATAGATAGATAGATAGAGAGATACTTTATTGATCCTGAAGGAAATTCAAGAAATCCTCTGATAAAAAAAGTAGCATCACACTTTTCTATTTTTGATCCTATGTTTTTGTTCATTACTATTTCATAGACAGCATGTTTTTCTTGTTACTGTAGTCCATTATCATTAATACTCTGCACAATGAGTGAAGCGTACAACAGGAAAGTGTAATTTACTTGATAAAGGTTTGATGTCTGATAAGAGTTTTTTTTTGTTTGTGACTTGGTGGCTCCATATAAATCATGTATATGACAATGACTGGTGCCTTTATGCAGTATTTAATCTGAGACGGCTGAAACACACTGACATTAGAATAACCAGCAATCGAGAGTAGATTATAATGTGAAAAAAATTTGTTCTGTATGATTTAAATCGTGGCATTATAAAATCTGTAGTCATAAATTATACCTAGTCAAATAAGATGATACTAGGATTTTAGTAGTGTAGCATATTGGTAGATACATGTCACATGGACCAATTAGAAAAATAAAGCTTAAGATTCCTAAAAGAATATGATAAACATTTGATTGTAGAAAAGCAACACTGTTGTACTAAATGAAACATAACTCCAAACATACAACTGTGGCTCTCTAACCTTTTGGCAGTTTTGTCTCTTGTCATAGAATTGCAGTATCTTTTACTTATAGACAGGAGGGAAAAAAGTGTTGAACAAAGATAATCTCTGGAGTCAACCGCTACAACAAAAAAGTAGAAAATCCAGGTTACACTTATCGGCTTTCATGGGTTATTGAAGTGACAGAAGAACAGACACATAACTGTGTTAATCATCATGTGCCTTCATTCTCTCTCCCTTCATTTCCTGCCATCTCTTGGTTATTGACACTCTCCTCCTCTGTCAACTAACTTGTTATTTCCAATTCGGATTGTTTTTCCATTAAACTGATTGTGGATTGTTTGAAGGGAACAATGCTGGATGTCTTTTTATGTATAAACCAAAGACCAAAACCTATATGTCAGTTTACAGTTAATTATGGTCATTCAATCTTAATTGATGTGGGGGCTTTGCTGCCAAAGGAGGTTTGACCAGTGACTGCTGTGAATAATTAAAGGTTGTGATCATCGATATTGAATCATGTGAATTCTCTCTATCCCAGAAAAACTGACACTGACACTGGACCTTTACAATTCAGTAAAGTTTTTCTTTTGACACATGCTTCTCTGGCAGATCTCTGTTCCTCCTGCTGGTCTCCTCTGACGACTTCACTGGGATCAGGCCGTCATGGAGGTTTTATACATCAACTCCTCTTTGCTCTTGGTCTCTCTCAGACCCTCAAACTACAGCGATGGGGAGAAGACGGTGTACGAGCAATGCAAAGACATGCCCGCCGTCCTCATTTGGTACCTGGTCATGCAGTTTATCAACATGTTCCTGGGCATCCCAGCCAACCTCACGGTGCTGTGGCTCATCCACAAGAACAAGGGCGACTCCTCCACCTCGGACATCTTCATCCTTCACCTGGCGATTCTAGATGTGCTTTTCTGCCTCATCCCTCCATTGGAGCTGGCCAACATAGTCTTCCTCAACTCGAGCAGCGCCTGGTACGTCCTGCGGTTCTTCTACGGCATCAAAGACTCCTCGCCGCTCTTCCTCTCCTGCATTTGCCTGGACCGCTACATGGCTGTGATCCACCCCATCACCTTCACCGAGCTCAAAGACCGCCAACACAGAACGGTCCTGGCCATGCTGGCCTGGCTGTTCACCCTGGCCTACGCTGCCACCAAGTGCGTGGGCGACATCAAAAACTTTGAGAAGGTCTTCACGGCAATGATCCTCGCCTCGTTCGCCTTCATGGTCTTCTGCAACATCGCCATTCTCTGGGTGCTGCGGCAGTCTGGGCCCGGCAGAGACGAGATGCACCCAGTGAAGAAGAGAGCCTTCAAAATGGTCCTCATCGTCCTGGCCATCATTGTGTTCAACTACTTCCCACCTGTGGCGCTGTTTCCCTTCCAGGACTACTTCTCTCCCGACGTGTTCCGCTGCTACATTCACTACATCGCCTTCGGCCTGATGGACTTCAGCAGCACCATTCAGCCCGTGCTCTACCTCTCCAAGGTAAAAATGCCAAGGAGCCTCAACTGTTGTCCACCAGCACGACTCACGACCAATGAGGGCAAAAGCAGGGTTTCTATTTCTGTCGCCCAATTGTCGTAATGTGAATGCACTGATATAGTGAAATGCAAGATAATAGGTTTTGATTTCTTCAGATCGGTTTTCTGATATATTTCGTACTTTCTAAAACTTTCATCAGCTAGAGACGTCATTTCAACTTCAGACTGGTCACAAGACAGATATTAAAGTTGTATTCAGCTTTTTGATGGCTTGTAAACTTTTTGAATTATTGCTGTTTGTATTTTAGGCTTTCCTTCGGACTGAGTTTATAATATACAATATGCCTTCTCACATATTCTACCATCACTGGCAATAAATTGCACCTGTCCATTATGTTAAAAATGGTTTCTTCTAATCAGTGTTGTAAATATTTGAATTGTGATGAGATGTGTTCAGTTACTCGCTGCATCTATCACGCTTCTGTCTGTCCTGGGAGAGGGATCCTTCAGATGTTGCTCCCTCTGAGGTTTCTACATTTCTGTTCCCTGGATGTTGCACCTCGTTAAGCCATATGAGACAAATTGTGATTTGTGAATATGGGCTATACAAATACAATTTGTTTTTATTTGTTTTAAATTGATTGATTATGGTAACCTGTGACCTGAGTTTTTTTAAATTACACATTTTAAACATTACATTTTAGGACAATCTGAGCTGTTTCACACTGAAAATTCAAGCACTTGCTGGTTTTCAATGTTCAGGGCTTAAGCAACAAGTGGAGCGATCAACTTCTCCATCTTATCCAATGTTTTTGACCCAAATGTGTAAAGAAAGTTTTGTACACTTATATTTTCTGCACTTTACCTTTGATTGTACAATAAAACCACATCTGTATGGAGTAAATGAGTCAAAAACTATTATTTGGGTTAACGTTTCTTTTTAATTTAGACACAAACCACACAATAAATTGCTAGTAGCAAACAGTCAGTTATGATGTACATTGCTATGCAGTTATATCAACCAGTTATCACAATAAACAGTCGGTCTATGATCATGAACATAAAACTTTACTCCTGCATGTGTCAGTTGTACAATATTCATATATGTCATCGTATTATTATTAGAGTGAAAAATCATCTAGAAGCTGGACATTGTTTGAGATCAGCATTGCTTACAAAACAGGTTACTACTGAAAGCTGGTCAATCGATACTGATTATCTGCAGTAACAGTATTACACAAATACATTCTCGTCAGGTCAATAGATCAGACCTCTGACTGTATAGTTAAAGCTATATACAGTGTTATATTAACTTTAAAATCACTGAGCAGAACAAATTTCTAACTCTCGGGCTACAAAGTTTTGTAGCTACAAAGTGTGTCGATGTATCTTCTAAGACAATTGTTTTTTTTAAAATCAACCCTGTGGGAACATTTCAGCACCTTATCAATTTGATAGACATTCCAATCAATCAATAATAGTTACTTTCCTGTAAAGTATTTTATAAACACATAATCTACCAACATTTTGGTAACATAGAGCAGGATTTCAGGGTCCTGTTTTCTGCCTGTGTCTTACACTGTGAGAACTGCCTACAAGGAGAATATTGGAGTTAATCAATCAAATGTATATAAGTCAATATATAGTATTGCTGACTAAATATTCAGTCCTGTTAATACAGGGGGCTGCACTGGTGGGGGGTATTTTTACAGGTACCAGTTTGGCTGCATAAGACATTTGGGAAGTAGAGATTGAGTAACAGATAAATGAGTTTTGCAGGTTTATCAGATGCCAAACCCCTGCAACAGTTTGTACTCAGTCAGAATTTTACAACAAAGTTATCACAGCAAATAAGATCACATGGTTAATGGTAGAAATACAATGTTCAGCAGCTTTAAGGCGTTTTCACATCTGCAAGTCCGAACCAAGATTCATGTCTTACTGTGTTTACATTAGTTTTGGTTTCATATTGCAACTTAAAGAGCGGACTATGGAATTTTGTATGACATACATATGTCCCATTGTCATCACCTACATAAACTGTGTCTGACGGCATGGTGTCAGTTCGAGGGGCAGTAGTCTTTCCGTTTGAATATACAGGTGCAAAAGTGCAGCAGCCCTGTGTGAAGGAAACACCATTAATCTTAGCGAGGCTGCAGAGGCTCCAGCACAAAAGAAACTGCAGTGTGTTGTCCTGGAGCCGGATAATGTCTCAAACTCATGAATCTGTTACTGGTCACACAGCTGATGTCAGTTTCAGCTGTTTATTCATTCTTGTCCAGTGTTGTCATTGTTTTACTGAATGTAGTTCTCTACCATCATCTCTGGGTGAAATGTAGCTGATGAAGTTCTTGAGATGTGGTTCAAAGCTTTGTAAAACGCTGCTATGTACATTTTGTATTGCAGCTTTTATATGATTCAACTGCTACAATTTCGATCAGTGTCTGAATGTGTCTCAGAGGCTGAAGGTCAGACTATGTTTATCTCAGCCTCGCTGGTGCTTCCTTCGCTCTGAGCCTTCTGCTCCTTGGTCGCGTGCATCTTCAAGTGTTTTTTAAGGGATGACTGGTCCGTGTAGCTCTTTCCACACTGGCTGCAGAGGAAGACCTTCTCTTTGGTGTGGACCAGCTCGTGTCTCTTCAGGTGTCCTGACCTGCTGAAGCTCTTGCTGCAGTATGAGCAGCTGTACTCCTTCTCTCCCGTGTGCGTCCTCTGGTGCAGTTTCAGGCTGCTGGCCACTGTGAACTTCTTGCCGCACTCATTGCAGCTGTATGGTCTCTCACCTGTGTGCATGCGCATGTGTATAGTGAGGTGTCCCGCCTGGCTGAACGTCTTCTTACACAGCTCGCAGCTGTAGGGCCTCTCTCCAGTGTGAATCCTGTAATGCGTTTTGAGATCACCCAAGCCATTAAACCTTTTCCCACACTGAGCACAGCAGTACGGCTTCTCGCCGGTGTGGATCCTCTCGTGTATGCGCAGGTTTCCTGCATTGCTGAATGTTTTGCCGCACTCCTGGCAGCTGTAAGGCCTCTCCCCGGTGTGAGTCCGCAAGTGGACTTTGAGCTGGTTGTGCTCGTTAAAGCGCTTCCCACAGTGCGAGCAGCAATACGGTTTCTCTCCAGTGTGTATGCGTTTGTGTATCCTGAGCTGACTGGGGTGGGCGTACGTTTTGCTGCAGATGTTGCAGCAGTAGGGTCGTTCTCCTGTGTGGGTGCGTTTGTGGGATTTGAGGAGGTCGGCGCGGCCGAAGCGTTTGCCGCAGTAGCTGCAGCTGTGGACCTTCTCACCGCTGTGGACCTTCTCACTGCTGTGAGTCTTGATGTGGACATTAAGCGAGACTGCGCGACTAAACGTTTTGGGACAGCTGGGGCAGCGCAAGAAGTTGTCGCAGTTTTCCACAAACTCTTCTGCAGGAACAGCGGAGGAATCACTGCCCTCCTGCGTCGCAACCTCTGGCTCTGCAACCTGACCGCTCGCTTCCTCTGGGTCTGCATTTAATTCAGGGTAATATTGCAACACATGCTCCTGCTCAGGGAAACTGTCATTGTCACTATACTGCAACACCCCATTCTGCTCCTCCTCCTCTGTCTTAATATACGGTCCATCCTGCATGTAGCTGTCAGAGACAATGGTGACTTTAACCTCACCGTCACTGCCTCTGGAGTCTGGTTCAGGGCCTGAAGATGGCAGCAGAGGTGCATATGCCTCTGGATTGTCACAAGAGACCCCTGTGCTCTCGGTTTTTAAGGGCCTCATTGTCAGATTGAGAAGAGACGAGGGCTGTGAGAGGTCAATGGCACAGTTTTCTTCCAGGCCAGGCTCTTCTTTCACAGATACCAGGGTACTTACCTCTGAGGTGTTGACACATGGGTGTTCTACCTTAAGATTTGTCTGCAGAAAAAAGGAGTCCGACGAAACGCTCTCCCTCATCTTGTCTTTTTGCTTCCTCCTGCAGCTCTTCTTGTCACTGCTGCATATGGACATTTTGAACGTGCCCTGAGTGGAGACGATCGGATGACTGGTCCTTTCTAAAGTATTGTCTGTGACATCTTGTTCTGTGGAAAAAAAGGTCAAAATTATGAACAAAATTATATAGACTGCTACTCTGGGTCATGCATGTCCTAAACTATATCTAAAATAATTAATTAGCGCAAAGGAATATTTTCAAACTGTGGAAACTCACAATACAATCAAAATAAACTGACTTGAATAAAGCAAGATTCACTGATTTTTTTTCACGACTGGGGCGGACAGGCTCAAAACACTGACATATTTAGCTATTTGTTTTTATTGACAGATCCAGCAGATACAGGGCAACAAAAGCATTCATTTTGAATTATGTCATCTGAGAAATGTAAACTAAATCCTCACTTTCCCTTTAGTCTCTTGGAGGAAATTCTTAGCTCTTAATTTTAACCAGCTAAGAGGGGTTTAATGCCAAACTGCTTTTTTTCACTGAACTTATATCCATTATTTTATCACTACAAGTAATCTAATGTATTATTACACAACTGTGTGATGCAGTTTGATGATCACTTTGTCATATGAGGACATTTATCAGTGGAGCTTTGACCAGAGGATATTTATCAGGGACCATAGGAATCGTAATGTTGCTACAACAACAATAATATTAACAATAATAAAAGGTTTTACATGATTAAAACATAATAATGACAGTTTCAATTATTAATACTGGCATGATAGTTGCACTGCATTCAACAGAAATCACCAGGTATAATTCATACCTCAATATTATTTTAGAGCAACTACCAAGTAATAATCTAACAGTTTGATTCATCACTTTTCTATAAAATGTCACAAAGTGATAAATAATGGTTTTAATTCCTTACAGGCCACGATGATGCTTGTTTTATCTGATCAACATCTCAAAACGTTTCCTTGATCTCCGTGTATAGAGCCGTATAGAGCAGTGAATGCAGCATTGTTTATTGATGTTTTGCTGTGCTGTTGCACTTTTATTTATGTCTGTAAACAGAAATGCACGGGCTCTGTTTGCTGACTGCAAACAAAAGGACAGTGTCTGCACGAAGCTGCATCGTCCGTCATTCACCGCCTGTAAACAAGCGTACCTTTGGACGCACACTCCTGGCTCTTGTGTACAAACAGCAGCCGCTTCAGGCCCTCGTTCTCGGACTCGATCCTCCGTATCGTGCCCTGATACTCGCACAGGGTCCGGTCCACCGAGTCCAGGATGTCGCTCACTGTGGCTCTGAAGATCTCGTTCAGAGAGGACTCCAGGAAGACTTTCAGGTCACCGGACGTGGCCATGTTGGAACCGGGCGGCTGTGGAAGACTCGGTGCGATCTTACCCGGTTCAAAGTGTCTGGATCATTGAATGGCACAGACAAAAGGTGTGTGTGTGTGTGGGGGTGTGTATGTGTGTGTGTGCGTGTATTGCTGCTGCCGCCGTGTGCGGAACAAACAAAGCACACTCAGGCGCAGGAGAGTGACGCAGGGGAGACGCTGCTTCTGTTTTCCTGACACCGCTCAGGCCCACAGCGCCTCCCAGCGGCGGGGAGTGCAGCTGCTGAATTGGCCGAGGCCCCACTCGACGTCACACAGTTCAAACAAACAACCACGTTATAGTTGATATTTGTGTTAAACCACAAACAGCTAATCACCAGGGTTTACTAGTGTTCACTACTAACGACACCACTAGTTCACCACTACTACTAACCACCACTAACAAGGACGAGTGATAAGTGATAGGTAATGCAACTGTTTTAATGTGGATGCTAATCATGCTAATACCATTTTACATTTAATTACACCGATGGTGTACGGGAGCTAATGCTGCTAAGCATGTAATGAGCTGACCAAATGCTTCTGTAACTCGTGCATGTGCTAATTGTGGCTAGCCGCCCTGTAAGTCTGTGGCAACAACGCTAACGAGCTAAAATGGTGCGTTAGCTACATTAGTTGTTGCTAATGCAGCGAATAATCAGTTTGCGACCGATGCTAATGCTAATCCTGATGTGAATAATGCTAAATTGCTTCCAGTTAAGCTAAAACTGTGCAAATATATTAGATTGACTCTCTTGTTATTTTATCGTCTCTGTCTTATTATAATATTATTTTATTAGTCTTCTTGTTTTAAGGGTTAGGGTTAATAATTGTCTTATTCACCTTGTTATATTTTTAATTGTGTTGTAAAACGATCTTCTTGGTCTTGTTATCTGATCTTATTAATGTTGTTATGTAATTCTTATTCTCTTGTTCTTATTTCTTATGAGTCTTATTACACAATCTTATCAGTCTTGTGCTGAAGCAAATTCCCGAAACACATTCTTGATAATAACACCAACTTATAGTGTTAACCTTAACACTAACCCTTGTTTAACACAGTCATTGGTTGACTCTAAGGTTACTGTGTTAACCAACCAGTTCTCAGTTGCTCACAAAGCAAAGTGTGAAACAGACGTGTCCGTGCAGACACACATCAGATCGACACACCAACAGACGTTTGCTCAGCTAATTACATGAAGACATTGAATCTAGGAGCCTTCTGGTTCTACCGCATTGCTCCAGGTGTCAGTCGGAGGAATGACTTTGAGCCGCTCCCCTCACCTGACCTGTATGTGTGCTTGCATGCCTTCAGGCCAGTGGGCGTGGGCCAGGGCCTCTCAGGTGTCTCTGTCCTCTTGAGTCATCTGCCAATCACAATGTACCCTTTCTTCCTCTTTGTTGTCACTCAGCTGCTTTCTCCTTCTTCTTCTTCTACTTCTTCACTCCTCTAAATTCTCCCCCCTCTCCCCCCCCTCCAGCTGTATCTGCAGACAGACGAACAGGACGTACGGAGACGGAAGTGTGATCAGGATTTCTTCAAAATGGACAGGAAACATGAAGAAGAAGAAGGAGGAGGAGGAGGTCCAGACTGGGACTTGTGACTTGCATGCTTCTTTATGCAACACCACAGACTTAAGCGGCAGCCTGGCTTTCAGAGAGCGGATGTGTTGCTGGTTTGTTGTATGAAGCAGGCTCAGATGAAAATCAGCTGAAGGGGTATTTGTATGCGTGTGTGCGAGTGTGAGTGAAGGCACAGCTCAGTGACAGCAGCATAAACCCAGTGTAACACAGCAGCGTGTCCTTCCCTCCCACAAGACTTGACTTAAAACCTCACACGCTGGCTGATCATATGATGCTGCTTTAGAGAGCCAGGAGGGGGTAAGTCATGCTTCATAGTTGAAAAGATTCTTTGTAATGAGGGTAGTTTTTGGCTCTTTGAGGTTTGAAAATGTTGAAATGTTCAAGTTTCTGCCTGTGCCATGCACGGTGGTGCTAATGAATGAAATTCTAGGTGGCTCTGTAGACGGATTATGTTGTTGCACATTATTTTTAATAATTCATTTCATAACTTTCCAATTACCCAGTCTGACTGTTTTTATTTTCTCCTCTGTGGTATGTTTTCTTTCATTTATACATAACTTTACTTCTCTTTTTGTGGTTTTCTCTTTTATGACACTGAAAAGTGTTTCTTTCAGGAGCCCTCCACAATCATCTGAGCATTTGCATCACAGTTAATTTTTCCAACACTGCTGCTGAAGATACTGTCACATACAGAAGATTAATGTGTTATAGTTTCAAACACACCAGCAAGAGATTATCAGCAGTACTGTAAAATGTCAGTCTGCCCCATTTTTTTGGATGTTCAGAGTAAACATCAAAGAAACAATTCATTATTTGCAACATTTAGTTCTTAAAGTTTAATTATCTCCACACAGAGCCATTCATTTATATACAAGCCTCCTTCCTAATCTTCAGTAAGGCTCATACATTAGATGTAGCACTTGTTGCACTCTGACAGGAACTGAGAAGTGAGCACCCACACAGGAAATGTGGTCAAAGTCTGTCCCGGATGTTGGTTGCGTGACTTGAATAGAATAATGAAGATAGACAAATGTGATAGAAATAGATGAAGAGGATTCAATTTCAAGCAATAGAATTAAATATGCAGAACAGAATAAGATATGATAGTTGATGCTTTAACTGTTCACTTCCTGTGGCCTTGGTGTTGTTAGAGGAGATGCCCTTGGTTTGTGTTGATAAGCGGCAGCAACTACAAGTTTAGACTCTTGTTCACAATGGCTTTATCCATCAGCCAGGGTCTCAGTGCACCACAGTGACAGACGCTCAGTGATAAAATTATAAACATACGGCGCAGACAGTTAAACTGCTCACCAGAAAAAAAAGATTAACTCCACCCTCTGTCTCTCTTCTTAATCCACACACATGCATCGCTATCTCTCTGCTTCTTTTCTTTCAGCTCACTCGCTTGGGTGATTTTCTTCGTCTGTGATCAGGAAGTGCACACAAGCTTTTGTGACATTTCACTTGAAGTCTGTTGCTCTGTACATGTGCACTGCAATATCGAGATACTAGGAAATTCAACAAATGATAACAATGGGATATAAAAAAAATGTGTGGTAAGTGTTGAGTATTTTTGTCAGAGTGATGTATTTGATTTAAAATGCAGTCAGTAGTTTTGAATTTACTCTTTCTCGCAGATTAACTGAAAAAGGTAGAGCCACTGTCCATATCACTATCCCACTTAATATAGCGGATTGTTATGATGTTATGTTGTCTGTCAGCTATCAGATGTTCCATCTAATAGACCAGGAGGTTCCCAAAAAAGTTATTTTTAAATGTGGTATTCAAACAGTTGATGAAGAATAAGAACAGCTTTGTTTTTGTTATCATGATACATCAGGGTTCTTGAGCCACTCGTGTCTGACACACAATTGAATTCTTCTGCTGCATATTCTTGAACATAAATGGGTTCTTTCTTTTTTCACAGATCTGTGAATGGAGCCACTGGAGGTTGTAACATGCCTCAGAGTTTATGCAGCAGCACAAAATGATCTTTATATAGAAGAGGACAGCAAGGCAACATTTACTGATACATCTTTCACCAAAACCCACGAAATCTGAAAGAAAATCCCAAAACCAAACAACAGAACAGACTGAGAGAGACTCTGATGGAGGAGGAAATCATCTGCTCCTCTCTGCTACACAGTACAGATTCAGTCCTGCAGCAGCCCCAACAAGACTCATGGACCTCTGCGGGGCATCATTACAGTGAAGAACAGGAGATCACAGTTTTGGATGAGACAGAGACGGATGGGGAGATAATCCAGGCACACGGGACAGATGAACTCGCTCTGTCCCCAAAGACAGGACGAGAGACTCCTGAGGAGGCAGAACACTGGGAGCACATAATATGTCCTGTACGTCCCAGTGCCCCACTGTCTTTCGCCACGGTACAGTGGGACATGCCTGATCCCTTTACAGAGAAGCCCTTACTGGTGACTGACAGCGGTTTGGCCAATGAGCTGGACTCCAGTGGCATGACGAGTCTAGGTACCACTTCCCCCTCACTTCAGCAATCTGAAGATGATATTGCTGAGCTTTTCATTACGGCGGAGAGAGAGGAACAAGATTGGTTTGATTCACAGCTTCTGAGTTCGGAGTGGACAGGAAACAGCTCTGAGGTACGTACTTAACATACAGTGATAATGTAAATAGCTGTAAAGCTGATACTATTACGATTTTTGTCTGTTTCTGTGTCTGTACACACTTTTTAGATACAGTTTCCTGTAACTCCTTACTTCCTTCACTGAGTGTAGCCTTGGCTTTTCAGTCGCCACCTCTGTCTCTACTTTTTTTTTAAAAATACGCACGTGTGAGTCACTGTAATAGGTTGAGCAGTAGTGGGAGAAATAGAGCACACATCATGTTGGTCAGATGAGGCTCTGAGTGCAAACTATCTAGTCATGAACCCACTGGCGATCACAAGTTTTTCTCACGCATTTTTTCACATGCTCATGTTCGAATACGGCCTGTGTTGCAATTTCTAGCCATGTGATGCTGCCAATGTGCAAAAGCCGATCGCACAGGAAAAGGAAGATTCAACCCACGAGCTTAACGGTGCGTATTACTCATAGATACACGTTAAAACATTGATTTTTTCTATTTCTCGCTCAGTTTTTTGGAAAATACAGTCATGATTCATGTTTATTGTTGGAGCTTTGGTGTCATTTTAATTAGAAGTAAACTGTGATGTGATGTTTACCTTTCTCTGGAAAATCTTCCAGAAATTCCTCTCGAGACTGACTCAGAAGATGAGGACAGATGCTCAGTAACCTCAGATCCTGTTGAAACCTTGGACATAATCGATACTGTGGGGGAGGCTGAAGGCTCAGAGGATGAGGTGAACTGTCTCGTAGATGAAAAGCCAGAAGAGGAACCAGAGGAGCTTAGCATTCTGCTTACTGCACAGGGAGACTCAGAGGAACAGCAACATTTAGTGAATGGTGAAGAGATTGATGAAGAGGGCAAGGAGGGTCAAGAAGAAGAAGAGGAGCAGCGTGTGACAAACCTGTTTTATGCTGGCGAAGGTGAAGAGGCGAAAGCTGTCAGTTGTCCGAGTGATGTGTGAGTATCATGTAAAGGGGAACAGAAAGTGTGTACTGAAAATCACTATGTTAGCCATATGCCAGTTTTAGCCTTACTTTATTTATTAACACTGACTGCATCTCATATTTCATGCACTGTTTGTAGGGAGGTGTCTGCAGAGCCACTACAAAATGAGGATACTGGACTAACCCCAGATAAGCTAATTAATTTGCATCCGTCAGAGGATGAAATTCGTCACTCAGGGACCGAAGAGGACGTAGAGGTACAGGAACAGTTACACGAAGATTCCACAGGTCGGACCGGAGAGACAGAAATGTGTCAAGGTGTAGATCATAAAGTGGAACCTGAGAGGCCAGAAGCCGTCGACAACAGTGAAGAAGAATTAATGCAGGAGACAGAAAATGCAGAGAAGATAGAAAACTCACAAGAGATACAAGAGCTGGATGAAGAATTGGAGGACAAAAGTTGTTTGGAGCTACAAGATTGTGAAGAGACAACTTCACCACACCCTGAACGATCTGAGTGTGAGCAGCTGGAAATGATCAAAGAGCCTGAGCCTGCCCAAGCAGAGGAGGAACACTCTGACCAGTTAGGATGTCAACATCTGAAGGAGTCGCCAGAGATGGAACTAACAAACCAGTCAACCCGACCTGAAACTGCAATGCAGACAGAGGAGTGTACTCAGTCAGATGGGACAGTTTGTGTTGAAGCCAAAGACACCGAAGTCCCAGACCAGCAGCAGCAGACGGAGCCGCCCGAGCAGAATGAGCAGTCACCGCGATCGACTGATGTGTCTCATCCGACATTTTCTGAGCACCATGTGCTATCAGAGGACTCAGATGAGTCAGAAATAACAGAGCAGCTGTCTGCAGAGACTGAGGTCACACAGCAGACAGCAGAGGCAGCAGAGGCAGCAGAGTTACAGCAGGTGGGCTCGCCCACGTTACATCAGGCTGATGAATTAAAAGGTCCTGAGGATGGAGGTGCGCGAACAGTGATGGCGAATGGAGAGAAACACAAGCTCCCTGAGACGCCCACGCGTCATATGAACGGTGGTGAGGTGGACAGAGAGATGGCCCGCAGCCTCGCTGAACGGCTGTTTAAGCTGGACGGGATCCAACCTGTAGATGTGGTGAAGCACTTAGATAAAGAGTAAGTGCATGTTTTTATGAATTTAAAATCTTTCAGTGTTGATAAGTGATGAATGATGAGCTTCGCAGCTAAACCCACAACTAGCCACAGCTATAAGGTTTTTCTGCTGCTTAGGGGGAGCTCCCAGGTGCAGATGTGTGTAAATGTCTTCGGTTCCTCTCTGTGCTACTAAAAATCCTGAAACTATATAAACAAAATGTAACGTGATTATTAAATCAAAATAAAAAGCTGACTTTTAATAATATCAACGTCATGGTTCCATCTCATCAAATATTGAGAGGTGCTCTCTTTTCCCTACATGTGATTTATTGCACATAAACAGCCAGATAACATTAAAAGAGCACTGAAAAGATTTTTTACACATTATCATCAAATGTGTCACAAGGAGGGCAGCTCAGCGTGTGAAAACAGTGATGTTTCTTTTTCTGTGGTTTTGGAGGAGTTTTGTAAAATTTGAGAAAATAACCATGATGATGTCATGGTTACCTTAGATACAGATGAAAACAGAAAGTCTGTGTTACTCACCAAGGGCGTTGAGGTTAAAACAGCTGCACATTTCCAGGCTTTAAGAGTCGTATAGTAAACTGCATTTTTGGAGTTTGACTTCCAGTAAGCACTAAAAGCCAGGGCATCTGATTTAGTGACTTCATAGTCTTGTGGGTCATATTTATGAGTTATTTGTGATTAAATTATGCAATTTGAAATTTTACTGGCCTGAGAAATCTTCACTGACTTCCTCTTTATGCTTGGACATCATATTCAAGAAGTCACATGATTTCTTTTTATCGTCCTTTACCCTCAGTTTAGCTTAAAAGTTGCATATCCTGTTCCCCTCCCGTTAGAGTTTTAAAATAAATGATTGAGTTGAGTATATTGAAATACTTGATTTTTTTCTCTTTGAGACCTCAGCAAAACTTATTTTGAAAATAAGTAAATATATTTGATGATCGAATTTCAAAGAAATTGCTGATAACCCTCATGCAGATATTTCTTCTGTCTCTGTGTAGTAATGAATTCAGTCATGCTGTCGGAGAGGAATACCTGAAATTCTTTGACTTTACTGGGCAGACTCTGGATCACGCCCTGAGGTGAGAATTTACAGTGACAGAGCTTGGATTGTATGCAATGACAACTCTCTTACAAAAACAAAAAACTCGTGAAACAACTTGTAAAACTTCTGCTTACTCTCGACGTCTCTTGCTCTCAGGTCTTTTCTGAAAGTGGTGGTACTGATAGGAGAGAGCCAGGAGAGGGAGCGTGTGCTGCAGCATTTTGCCTGCCGCTTCCATCAGTGCAACCCTGATGCCTTCTCCTCTTCAGGTGAGTCTCTGTCACTGTTTACCTCGACATGTTTGATTCATGCTCAGAGATGCATCAGTGAGTCGTCAACACTTCTTTTTTATATCCTCAGGGGCTGTGTTGGCTCTGACGTGTGCTTTAATGCTTCTCAACACTGACTTGCATGGGCAGGTGAGACACATTTATGTCTGTAAAACAAATGTTTAAAGATATAAAATGTTGTTTTGACATGTTCTGTGTGTGTGTGTCTACAGCATGTGGGAAAATCCATGTCCTCCTCTAAGTTTGTGTCCAACCTGGATGGGATGAACGAAGGTGAAAACTTCAGCAAGGATCTCCTGAAAGTAATGGCTTTATTACATTTCTCAGAAAACCCATTTTATGGAAATGGAAAGGTCAAATCCCTGTTGGTGAAAATGTTAATGATTTTTTCTTCTCCATTTACATTTTAGAGTCTTCATAATTCCATCAAGAGTGAGCCGCTGGAATGGGCTGTGTAAGTGGACAGTCGTCATTTCACCCTCACTTGATTTGTTCTCTCTCATCGAATGTTCCTTTGTCATATCTTTCACATCACGTCTCCTCTCACACGTAACAACCTCCCTCTGTGTGTCGAAGGGATGAGGACATGTTGAAGAGCTCTGTGTTGCTGGAAGAAGAAGTGGGAGATGATGCGCAGCTCCGCTCGACAGCCAACCCCTTCCAAGTTGTTGCTCACGACAAAAACGCCTCAGTGGTCAAAGAGGGATTCCTACTTAGAAAACTCCACGCAGACATCGACGGCAAACGCAGTGAGCATGACTTATTTTGCCTCTCAGGTTTTCATTAAAGGTTAAAATATGTCGTCTGGTACATAGAAAGTAGTAGATCCTACGTGTGGTGGGGTCACTGTGTGTGGTTGAGCTGTTTAAGTACATTGAAACAGCATTAAATGGTATGCAGAATATTTTGACTTTTTGCCTGTTGTAGATAATACATAAAGAACATTGTTTGTTTCATTTTAAACACAGTTATGATTTTATCCAAACTTCAATTTTGAAAGAGACAACATAGCCTCGTTTAGAAAATGTAATCTTACTTATTAAAACTTAAATTATTTAAGTAATTGAATTAATTTGAATTGAATTTGAATTAATCACCATTTATTGTGTTAATGAAAAGGTGACATGGCTGACAGTATTTGCTCACATAAGAACTTCACTTTCCTGCACTACATACTAGCATTATAGTATTTTGATCACTTCAGAGCTGAGCTGTGTGTTTTATTGTGGAGGGTGTAGACTTGTCTTTAGTCTGTAATCTTCACTTACCTGCTAAATGATTATGTTTCAGCTCCATGGGGGAAAAGAGGCTGGAAGACTTTCTATGGAGTCCTGAGGGGAATGGTTCTGTACTTACAGAAGGTCAGTGACTCAGCTAACTGTGCTTATTATGTGAAAATTGTTTTGTATGTAAATTATAAAATACATTTCTGACACATGGGTTTTTGTTGTGTCAGGATGATTACAGGAGGGATCAGCAGATGAATGAGGAGGTGGTGAGTGTGCACCACTCGGTGGCTGAGCAGGCAGTCGATTACACAAAGAAGCCGCATGTGTTACGTTTGCAGACGGCTGATTGGAGGGTTTTCCTATTTCAGGCCTCGTAAGTCGCGATGCAGCTGGAACCAGTATGTACAATGTATGTGTGTCCAACGGTCAGAGTCACAGCGCTGGTGTTTTGTGCTCAGATCTAAATTGGAGATGAAGTCTTGGATCAACCGCTTCAACCTGGTTTCGGCTCTCCACTCATCGCCTCCGTTTCCTGCTGCTGTCGGCTCCCAGAGGAAGTTCTTCAGGCCGATCCTTCCCGCCTCGCAGTCTGCCCACACTCTGGTACACACCCTTACTTCTCGTTCTATAATTTCCCTTGAAGTAAAAGTTATTTTACCACATTTTTACTTAATTGTACCTGTTTTTATACCATGTCTGAGTGTTTCATCAGTAAACATTGAAATACCTTCTGCAAAGTTGTTTTAATTTCAGTTTTCTACTTTCAACAGTTGCATAGTTGAAATTAAAGTCAAATGTTTGGATGAGTCAAGGATGTAATCTTGTCGCAGAGCTTAGTATAGAAATGACTAGACATACATTATATCTTTGATGATGATACACATCTGAACCATGCACCCTCTGGGATTACTTCACCCCGGCAGCTGAAGTATGAGAAGGATAATTTATTTATTCAACAGGCATAATTCAGATAAATATTCTTACACAAACAGTCCAATAGTTGTAATGTATATAATGTCTAAATAAAACAAATTTGCAGCTGCGACCCTGATAATAATTTCCACCCTTTATATCTGATTGTTCCTCGGTAGGATTTGCATAAATCGCATTTGCATTTTTCTTTTACTATGTGTAACTTTCCGTGCAGGAACGTCAGTTGCAGTTTCATGCAGGAAAGCTTGAGTCCTTCAAAGCCGACCTGTTGAACCTGCAGCACAATGCTCCAGAGAGCCGAAAAGCCAGAGCCAAGGAGCTGGAGGGGCATCGAGTCAGAGCAGAGTACCTGCAGTACGAGGTAGAGGAGGTGTCCTGAGTGAATGTGCATACGTAAATACAGATACATATATATAAATATATGTATGAGTGTCAGTGACCCATGATTGACCCTGCATTCTCTTGTGCAAACCCTACAGATGTGTCGCTACGAGATCTACATCCAGGTGCTGGAGGCTTGGAAGAAGGTGGAGAAGACGGGCAACAATGCATTGAGCACTGCAGAGCTGAACCTGTTTGATAAAGCCCTGTGTGCAGACTCTGTGGGGGACGAAGAGGATGGCGGACTGAAAAAGTCCTACTCCAGCCCTTCTCTGGAGCAGGACATCACTCCCACAGTGGTCAAAGTCAGACGCAACATCTCTGAAAGACGGACGTATCGCAGGACTATCATCCCTCGGTGGAATAAAGAGGCCTGAGAGGTATTCTTACTCAGAGACTGCTGACTTGACTTCAGTTGTTTTAGGTTGTGGAAGCACTGAACACAGAAGCAGGGAAGACACCCAAGTTAAATTTAAAAGCCATCTGGGCAAGTTGTGTAGATTTATTTGCATTTTTATCCTGTGCACTTTTTCAAGAAATTTACCTCAGGGAATCCCCAACTCTCAAGACTCTTTTACTATTGAGGGGAGAACCTGACACTTCTGTTGAGTGACTCATAATGTCTGCTCCTAATTTATTTAGTTGTCTTTAAAACAAAAAACAAAATTTCTTTGTATTAAAACACAAAATGGTACAAAATCTGTTACATTTGAAATGTCACACTTTGGGCAACAGTTGTGCCTTTTAAAATGCAAACCACAAGAGGGTGCTGTAGTACAGGACATGTGTGAGTGAATGTCGGGGACAGGCCGTTCTGTCAGAAACTTGTTTTAATAATTGCACTTTTGCTGTTCTTAATATTTTTGCATCCATCGTTTGTTGCCACTGTTTCATACTTTGTTCATATGAAGGATTTATTTCTGAAATGTTATGTTTTTTTCTCTGTAGGAGAAAAATAAAATATCACTTGTATTTATCATTCCCATCTTTTCCTAACCCTAATCACATCCTGCAGGCGGAGCTCTTTGGAGCCCGGGGTCACCTGCAGCAGGGGTTTCCTGTGCTCCTGAGCCAAGTTAAAATCTTATGATGTTTGAAACAAGGGGGGGGGGTACTTGAGCAGCCTTCTGAACTGTAATTTGCATGCTGTAGTTCACCTCCACCACCAGAACGAGAAGGCGCTTGACGTCATCATCATAGTCTTCTAATTCAAGCTCCCAGAAGTGCACTCTTACTGCATCTGTGCTGTTCTCTGTTATTTCCTCTTCAGTCGCTTTAGATGGGACCCTTGTTACGTGCTGAAGCCTTAAAAGTTCAGTCAGCAGTGAAACCTTGACCTCGTAAGAGCTGTTATGCCGGCGGACCTGCAGAGCCCATTCATATATGGGTGTGTCAAACAGCATCCTGATGCTTCTGCTTTTAATTCAGTTCATGGATATTGTCACTGTATATTTAAAATACAGACAACGATCAAAGTGGGCAGGAAACTTTTCTGACTATTTTAAGTTCACTAATAGACTTGAGATTATAGAGAAGTCAAACACAGATGACACTCCAGACCATTCTAAGCAGCAACACACACACACACACACACACACACACACACACA